CCCATAGGAAACAGAACTGTAAACAGATTTTCTTTTTCTTTATGGATATTTTACAAATCACTCACCTTTTAAACTGTATTCTTGTTTTACTGCCATATAGTATTTCATAACTGTTTTTCATTTATTCTCATAAATGGTGACCAAACCGTTTGAGACCCACTGAGATAACTAGACTCAAATGAATATCTAAACAGAGAGTCCCTTACCTCTCTGAGCTGTAGTTATCTCTCGGTCTAACAGCAGAGAGCTCTCCCTCTCCTTGTTTTAGAAACAGCTTCTAATATCCGTTAGCGCAGCTAGCTAACCAGATGCTAACAACAACAATGCAAATAGTGAGTTTGGTAGAAATATACTGTATAATAGTAAAGCTATTTAAGATGATGCCATATTTATTGAAGATTACATTATAAATATTCCCCAAAATTATTCAAAAGCATATTATTCCAAACTCTCTGCTGTAGTATGACCACCAGGAGACTATTGGTGTGTGTGGTGAGTTTGGTAGTAATAAGCTGTATAACAGTGATTGAATATTATTGTATTCTCTTTTTTCGGAGTTCCACTTTGCAGACGGTCCCTGAGCACTCGTTTCTTCTCCGGCTGCGGATAGAGACCAATGTTGATTGATTGATTGATTGAAAAGTTTATTAACAGCTTGTATATTGGGTACAGTACAGTACAGCTCAAAACATACAATTGTTAAGGGGATGCAGACCAGAGAAAGACTTTCGGCTTGTTTACATCAGGGTCCCCCATTTCCAATTCATCATATCATTTAAGACACATAAGACATATTTGACATACAGATGGCTTATTTACAATTTACATACAGGTGGTTTTTTACATACAGATTGCTTATTTACAATTTTCATTTTAGATTTCGTTCTAATACATCCTAACCGGACATTTAAGACATACCAAGTCTACAGATATACAGTTAGTAACAGAGTCTAAAATGTGAGTATATACATAGATGGGGGGGGGGGGGAAGCTGTCCATTGAATGACAGGTTGAGATTTGTACCATTACACAATGTAATGTGTCCAGCTCGGAGGACGGCACGTATTGGCTTTTTTTTTTATCAACATGTGATTGTAGTTCGTTGTCAACCTTACCACGGTACTTAGGAGACGTCATTTGTGTCTGAATAACGTTTTGTTCATGAGTTATTGATCCGTGAAATCCGAATCTCCCAATATCGTTTCAACTTTACTGAACTAAGCCAGAAGACCGTCTCATTTCGTAGACCGCTCGGTTTGCTGTTCCTTCACTTTATTTTTATATACATTTATTTTGGACGAAAACTTAGCGTGAGGAAAGGCAAGTGTGGCGTGAGTGCGTGAGATATGGGTTAATTGCGTGACTCTCACGCTCAATGCGTGAGTGTTGGCAGCCCTGCCCTCCCCAAGGCAAGCGTTTGCGCCTCCTGCTTTAAAACAAATGAATAATGACTCTATATAATCATATGTAAGCAGTGGTGTAGTGGGCGTTGGACGTGGGGGTACGCCGTACCCCCACTTATTTGGAGCATGATCTTTTTTTTAATAGTCTAATAAATATAAAATCTTTGCCAGTCTTATCAGTTGCAAGTGTGTATTTGTTGTAATAATGACAAAAACATAATACATTTCACAGTAGGCCTAATTATAATAAAAAATAAAAACTATTTCCTTAAAAAATTATGATTCATCATCACGCTCATGACCCCGTGGCGAGCTGGGGGTGTGTCAGTGACACACCCACGGCCAGCTCGCTGCCCGCCGATTTTGCGGCAGCTCTTTCCTTCAAGAACGCTAACGAAAAAGCTCTATAATGGCAGGCAAACGTGCGTGCGTGCGTGCGTGCGTGCGAGAAGCAGCGCTGTCTGCTTATTTGCAATGTAGGCTAGGCCTAATCAGAATAATTTCAAGTCCAGATTCAATGTTGTTTGCATAAGTAGGCTATATTTTTCGTTTCGTTTATTTAATAAGTTAATTTCAGGACAACTTTGGGAATTTTGTTTGTTTGTTATGAGTTTTAAATAGATTTTGAAAGTGGAGATAGAGAGAAGCAGCGCTGTCTGCTTAGTTGCAATACTGTAGCTTATGCAATTTAGGCCTATAAATTGTTTATGTAACTTATGTGCCTGTGTGTCCATGGTTTTGAGTCTGTGTGTGTGTTGAACGCAGCGCCGTCTGCTTTTTGTAGTACAGTAACTAAAGTAGGACTAAGCATACCGGTAGTTTCTGTGGACCTGTCTGCCCGTTTTGTGAGTGCACTGCGCGCGTGCGCACTTGTGTGGCATTGTTTGGGATGACCTAATTAAAATAGCGTCCCCCCAGTAAAAAAATACCCACTACACCACTGTATGTAAGGGATAATGTGCAGCGACGCGGTCATTATGGGGAAAAGAACACTGACAGGCTGATCAGGAGCCCGACGCGAAGCGGAGGTGTTATTTTCCCCATAATGACCGTGTTGCTGCACATTATCCCGCTTATTACATGGCCACATTCTCAACAAAGTAACGACATGACTCCCAATATTAATTGAAAGGCTTTTATGGATTTAGAAAATGATTTTATTGATTTAAAAAATAGTTGTATTGATTTAAATTGACATGCATCTGCTAAGAAAAATAGTCCGTAGTTACCGTTTGAACTAACGTAGCAACGGCAGGAGCTGCTTCGATAGCGTTTTTGAGGAGATTTTTTATTACAGATTTGAAAACATCGGTGCTTGCTTTAAAAGTAGCACAATTCATTATGTCAAACCTTGGAAAGTATCTAGATATCCCTGCCCTAATGCCAAAGTAACTGCCAACTCCCCTCTCCTGCAGGGGGGCGTGGTCAGTTGCAGCTCACAGAATCAGCCCCCTGACAGGGCTGGAAAGAGCAAATATAGCGAAATGAGGCATGGCTAAAATGCAGGATCTGTTTGGTATTTTGAAAAATATATATATTTATATACTTTATATAGGTATGGCCCTACAATATATGTTTCAAATATAGCATGATAGGTCCACTTTAAGTATCGGGTTCCGACTGGTCACAACAATAATGAAATATCACTCTTAATACAACAAATAATTAACATGTATCCATTTTGGGGTGCACATTTTGCTGTTTGCTGCCCTTATTTCTTTATGTTTAAAAACTGGTTGCCACTGATAGTAACCAAAGACCAAGAAGTGGTTGACATTTTTTCAGAATGGTTGCCAATGGCAACCGTTACTGTCGAGCCCTGCATATTCAATGTAAATATTGCTATATTTTACTATATTTTTTTATATTTTTTAATGTTATTACAGTTTTCTTAAAATAGTTTTCTATCTGTGTTTTTGTTTTATTTGTATGTATCTTTATGTATGCACCATGACACCAAGTCAAATTCCTCCTATGTGTTAACCTACTTGGTAATAAGTCTGTTTCTGATTCTGATTGTAACTTCTCTGCAGTTCAAACTGCTTTTCAGACTTTTTTAGCTATTTTTGTTTTGTTTTATGGAACACAATATTTCTGTTTTGATTCATTCTCACGCTCCACACAAATAAAAAGGCCTGTTTAATAACCAAGAAAAAGTATAGTGTACATTTATATCATACTATTCCCACCAGATATATACTGCATTGATATTTGCAATATTTTGAAAATGAAGAGATTTGTCAAATGCTTCCTAAGCCATCGTCCTCTGACCTTCGTCATCTCTCTCCGCCCCTCCTCACCCTCCACTTTTGTAGTTAAGGAAACGTCTGTCTGTCTGTCTGCCCTCCTAAAGTGTTAGCAGATGTGAAGGTGCTCATTGTCAAGGCACAAGTAAAAGAGACGGACAGTCATAAGGTCATAGATACTGACATGAAAAGTCTGCATATACACTGAGATACATTTAAAGAAGGAGACAGATTAATTACCAGGCAGTTGGTATGTGGGCCATCCAGTTTGCACCAACTTTTTTATTTCTTCTGGTCTCTTTTTTTTCTCTGCCCTTGAAATCAGATGATAAATGAATCTTTAGAATTACACTATTGCCTCACCTCCCCTTCACCCCCACTTTACCACACACACCCCACTGGGTAAGCAGTGAGCGAGTGATGTAAGGCAGAGGTGGAGAAGGAGGAAACAACTGCGTCTGAGGTTAGCCAGATGGAGGAGAGGGAGAGGGTGGATGGATGGAGGGAGGGAGGGAGGAAGAGAGGGAGGGAGTAAAGGGAGAGAGGGAGGAAAGGACAGAAGTCAACCCTTGTTGGCAAACCAACTTTTGTCTCTCTGTGTTGAAAGTGAAGAGAGGCAGTAGATCATGGAAACTCTTAACACTCTAACTGAGGGTTTATTTCTTACTCATGCAGTTTGTGGCTCCTGCGGGACATTCATTCATCTGTCTGTGTTTAGTTGTTATCCTGTCGACTAAATATAAAGGAAAACATACTGTCACTCATTAACTCTGCAGGGAAATAGTGTCATTAAACTAGAAAAGCTGCAGCCTGACCAATACTAGATAGTTGGGACCCGCCAATATTTATCTATAAAAGCAAAATAAATCTGATAATAATTCAAGGTATGAAGAAGACAAATCTTTCTTACGCATTTTGTTAGAAAGATATATGCCTCGCAGTACAGATATTTTACAAATATCAATACAATTTATGAAAAATGAAAGTAACTGTAGATATGAAATAACAGTCAAAATGTTGAATGTTTTGAGTAAACGGTAAATTGATTGATTGAGAGAGAGAGAGACCACGGATTGGTCCATTTGGGTATGGTCACGTCACTGTACCCAGGACGTGGAAGAAAAAAATTAAAATCTCCAACGAGGCGTTCTGGGGCAGCAAAGACAGGTATTTTCTGTGTTAGTTTTACTCGCTACAGGGTGTACTTTGAGGGTTTGTGACTCTGCAGACCGTTTACATGCAGAAAAAGCTACATAACACACAAGGGGACGGGTAATAACCGGAAAGCATGACATGGGACATTTAATACAATTAGGTAAATTAACAAGTATTTGTATGTGCTTTTGTTTAGGAGCTCTGGATCACATTGTGGTGACGACACAAGATGGCAAGTTCCCTCTCAACCAGCTGGGACAGGTCTCCATGAAATCCCCTCAGCTCATTATGGTCAACATGAGCAGCTTTCCAGAGGTAAGACGATCACACACACAAACACACACGTACAGATTCTTCCTAGACGTATGTGTTTGTCTCACGCAGACTAGCACGCTGTAACTAAAAGCTTTATAAAAATAATCCGACAAGACCACAAAGATCCGAAAGACAGATAGATGGCCTTTTGCAGAAGGAAAAGTAAGCCAGAGCAGAACTCTAGAAGCCCTCAGTTCTGTACAAATGAAACCTGAGCGGCCGCTCTCTCTCCAACTGTGTCTCAGATGCTAATTGATTGATCACTCGAGGAGGCCTTTGTTCCGCTGTGAAAGATAGCAGCATGAACCCAAACTGTGTGTGTGTGCGCACTGGGATGTGGTTCTGTCTGTGTGTGAGTTTTCACAGCATAGGAAATGACCTCATTTTACCCCCAGGTTAGGAAGGAATGGATTATTTTCTTTTTTCTACTCCTTTTTCTTTCCCTCTTTTCCGTTTTAGATCATACAACACTGCTAGTCAGAGGGGGCGTCTTGCATTTTAAGACCTTCTGGTGTCCTGGCAAATGTTAATGTGCTTTTTTAGCAGTTACACAAGACTGAATTATATATCCCCAAAAAGTCATGAATAAAGATTTAGTTGTCTAAGGTCTTATTTAAAAAAATATGTTTAGATGATTAAGAATAATGAATGCTAATTACAAGTGAAGCTTGAAAGTACAAAATGTCACTCAGAAACCTGCCGATAGTTATTGTCAGGGAATAATTTCTCCTCCGATGCAGCTGACCAACCTTGATCAGCCGTTATCTCCCATAAGGAGGGGCTGCCCTAGCAAGTTGTTGTTGTTACCAGTTTATGGCCGGGCAACTCTCGGTGAGAGATAGTTATTGTTGTGGGACACCTGGAACACATCCTTCTCGGAGTGTAGATGACCCAGAGCCATAAGCGACAACAAATGTGATTCAGTGTCCTCAGCTGTTTAGTCTATCTATTGAAGAATGTTGATTATTACACTCTGAACTAGTTAAAACCTCGAGCTACAGGAGGGTTCTTCAGAATTGATTGTGGCATCTCAACCGTGTGGTCAAGTGTTTGCCATCAAAGCTCCAGCTCTCCTCGTGTCTCTTTGAGTCCTGACTCTCCATTGCTATAGAGGTTTCCCCCACAGTTATGATTACGCAAATAAAATAAAGTCATACAGTTAACTGCTAATGTTAGCATGAAGACAATGCTAGCATGCTGATGTTAAGGTCAGGGTTGGAATGAAGATTGGTGAGATATTTCAAGTGTGAACCAAAGAGTCCGACCGCCCGGCATTGCCAGCCCGACATGGCTAAAAACACAAAATAGCAACATAAAATACTCTGTGGAGGCAATAACAGATTTACATTCTAAGGGAAGTAAAACCTACATGATCTGTTGCTGTTTAAACCCGTTTTTTTAAGCTTCGATGACTTTCAAAGGCAGTTTATTATTTTGGAGAACCACAAAACAAGTTCTTCCAACCATATTCCACCAGCTTCTATTTTTCTACCGGTCACCTTTTGTGAATCTGAAAGGTGTGGTTACACCTGTTTGTTCTGTGTTGTAGCGGCATCACAAAACATGCAAATCCAAGCATTTATCAGCATCTTAAATCTTGAAATCTACTCTTCAGCCTGAATGGTCTTGCTGTGAGTCTATTTTCTTTCCAGGAACTCCGACCGCAGACCACACACACACACCCGGCAGACACACTCATGCATGCACACGATACAATGTCATGCCCTGCGCTGCCCATGTCCCACACAGAGGTGAGTCCTCAGTACCCAGAGCTAATAGGCTTATAATGATGCCTATCCATTACCAGGCACTCCAGAGGCCCTAGCATTGTTTTCCATTCATTCATTAAGAGCAGCCAGGGAAGGAAGGCATGGTGGAACTAACAACAACTACCAGCAGGCTTAGATCAAGAGCCAATTTGGTGTGTGTGTTTTAGGAAGAGTTTGCATGTTAAAGCATCCCACCACTTTGTTCATAAATCATTTTCTTCAGGACTTTTTATTTTACATGCACACACGCAGACTCTCGCACACATTCCTCCCCACTCGCCTCTTTGCTTTGAAGCGGGCCGTCAAGCGTTTGATGTGAAACTTCAGTGTAATTTCTCTTCCTCTCGAACATATTAACCAGAACCTGCACGGCCTTTACACAGAAATTCCCCTCGGTTTTCCGTAACCACCGGAGTGGTCGTCGGGAAAGAGGAAACGGTGATGAATTCGATCCTGAGAACGATCAAACATAGGTAGGGTCTGAATCTATCACCCCACACTCAAAGAGCGCAACCAGAGGCCTGCGCTCCGGATGAATTTGACAAAGGAAAAGAAACCACATGAATTAATTTAATGCGCACAAATAAATTCCTTTAATCTCACTGCCATTTTTTTTTTTCCCAGCGGAGAAGGCCAGAAGGAGCTGTCGAAAATGGAGAGTAGGTTAGAAATGGAGTAGAAAAAAAACAAATGATGTGCTTTTTCCTCGCATTTGCACACTTTGTAATGATCAGCTATGGGAATTGTCATGCGGTTGCAGAACTGGTGCGAGGAGTGTGACTTTGTTTCAGTAATTCAAAGGATTTGGCTTCCTCTGCCTTGTCTGTATGCAATGTGTTTGGCTCTCGGGTTAACATTTAGTATTTACTGGACTAAAGGGTTGTGCTGCATATGTTGGATCAAGTTTTGATGTTTCACATATGTTAAGACTGTTTTAATATTCACCAGAGTAACATGCAAGCTTGTCCCTCTGCCTGCTGGTCTGCATGCCTGCCAAAAAAATACAAAAATACTTTAAAATGGAATTCCAAAGAAGCCACTTTACTATTAAAGTATTGTGTGACTGTAGACCAACAGAACCTCTTAACATGTATTTGTCTGATCCTGTTATGGGTTGAGATATCAATGTCATCTCTGCCTAGTATCCAAATTGACACTAGATCACTTGTTCCCTAACAAAACACAAAGTCTACTTCTTTTCATCTCCCATTAAATTGTTTCATCCTTTCAAAATAAAACAGATGTTCGAGAAATATTTGTTGCCATTTTATCCTAATAGATGAGTGACATGTTCTGCCACCCACTGTATTGGTACTGTAAATGTCCAGTAGATGGTAGACGTAGCCTGATGCAAAATCTGAACACAATACAATAAAAGTGTTTTAAATGTTAGTTTAAGTGAATGTAAATATTCATGTGCTCACCTCAATATAATAACCATTGCCCACATCTATTAAAAGCAATAAGATGATTTTATTTTTGAAAATACTTTAAATGTGTTCACACAAACTCAAAAGCACATGTGTGTTTGTGTGTGTGTATCCATGTATCATACACAAACACCCGCAGACAGTCCTGTGAGGTCACTGTGGGTCACCGCGTTGCCCTGCAACCTCTCAGTCCTGTCCCAGAGGGCCGAGCGCTGACAGTGGCCCAAGGCACTTCCACACTGCATCGGCTTCCCCTGACACACACACACACACACACACACCCCACCCAAACACACACATAAAATACAACCCACCACACCTTAATAGTTGCCAGCTGGAGCCTGGCCACTACCTGCAGTTGTAGCGCTGCTTTTCCATTCACACCAGCAAGCACACATTCATATATCTGTGTCTGTGTGTGTCTGTGTGTGTGTGTTTCTGATCTTTATGTCGTGTTTGCCCCAGGCTACAGCTGCCGCTGCCCGTGCCCTGAGAGAGAGTAGCATGAACCTTAACCCAGAGGTGGACGGGACAATCATCAAGGTGCCCGTTCCCAAGTGAGTCTCTTCCTAAAACACACACACATATACACACATATACACACATATTTACACACACACACACACACACACACACACACACACACACACACGTATACACATACACACACACACAACACCCAAGGGCAGAATCGCTTTCCTGCTTTCTGCACTTTCTTTCTTTTCAATCCTTTCCTTACTCCTTTTCCCTTTCTTTTGTTATCCCTCTTTTCCCCACTCCCACTGTTATACACTTAACTTAAGTATTTACCATGAAACAAATTAGGGGATCTGATAAATCAAGTAATCAATTTATAAAATGGTATTTCATGGATCCTCTGAAGGAGGCCAAGATTATTTGATATGGCAAAACTACATTTTGGAATTGAGAATAATTGCAATGCATTTTACATTTTATAAACTAAATGAGAAACCAATAACTCAAAAGAATATCAATACATGATGCAAATCCTAGACCACAACCTTACAGTTAGCCTCTTTCATGCTTTTGAAAGTCCCCCCATTAATGAACCCCTGTAACTGACAGATTTATTGACTTTGGTTTGTAGATGTATAGAGACCCCGAGTGTGTTGATGTGAGGGCCGGGTCACTCTTTCTCTCTGCCAAGTCAAACAACCTTACGAAAAACTATCCGTCACTCACTCACTAAACTACTTTGTGTGTTTATCATGTTTTGTTTTTTACATATCTGCCCATACATGTATAAATGCCAATCTGTACTTATGTGCATTTGGGTGCATGTGTGTGTGTGTGTGTGTGTGTGCACACGCGTGGAGCAGCAGGTGTTAGTCTGGCAGAGGAGGGACACAAGAGTCAGGCTGCGTTCCCCCTGCAATCAGTCTCGGCACGCTCCAAGCTCACATTTGCATTTCCAAAGAGAAGGCGCTCCTTGATTGGCCCTGGAATCAGTAATTAGGCCGTATTGTTTGTGGTAAATAGACGCCACACTTGGATTGTTTGCAAATAGTCCCCGAGGCAAAAACAAGGAGAAAAAAGCCAATTAAAGACAAAGAGGGAGAGTGAAATGGGAAGTATGATTTTCTGAGTGATTAACGAATGCAAAGTGAATACAAAGTTGTCGGGATGACGAGCGTCTTAGCTCCGGTCTGAGTCCCTCAGCAAGTCAATGTGAGATGGACTCACGGGTCAGAACTGAAATAATTAGACCTCATGCTTACATGCCCTTAACATTAAGTAGTAAGTAAGGTTGTTATTATTTGACATAATGAATTTTTTATTATGTGGTTTTCTGTGTTTAAAAAGAGTCTGACTAACCGTTTCTTTTTAGGTCTCTGTGTGTAGTTTAAAGGCATCTTGTTTATCTTGTATTCCTGTAGCAATTAAAAGTAGGAAAATACACTTTCTCCAACACTGAAAGCTAAATATCATAGTCATTAGCTATTATCATAATTTGGTACAGTGTATAACCTTGCTTTAAAGAGTAGCTGCTACTTTAACCCACTGACATCCATTGAGCTAAACTTACTTGCATAACTCTCCTTCGTCATCTTCATAGCGTACAGAGACATATGCGTTTTAACCCTTGCTTGGAACAATCCATGTATGTCAACTTCTGTCTTACTATTTGTTCTTTTCTCTCATGTCCTCCCTTCGCTGTAGAGTTACACGAGAACACAGGGAGAACCTCACCAAGCTGGCAAAACAGTTTGGTAACAAGGCTAAAGACTCACTGAGGAAGGTGCGATCTAACGCTGTCACACAAGTCAAAAAGACCAAGGATGCCCAATCGGAGGACACCTTACGTCTTGTGGAGAAACAGGTAAGAGATATGGAGAAGGACAGCAGTTCTAATACACATGGTTACATCGATAGATCAGACTGAGAAGGGATATTTTAAGGAAGGTTGAGTTGTGTTGTTGGATGCAAGAGATGATTTTCAAAACCTCTGATAATTGGAGCCTGAAGACCTGAAACTGTTAATGCAGTCCAAGAGTTGAAATAATTAGAGAGAAATTCATCATAAGCCCAGTCATATTCTGTCTTATTTCAGCTATATAATGTTGTCCGTTTACCAGACATACAATAGAGGGAGGTGAACGTGTATTTTTTTCATCTTTCCCTCCTCTTCCTTGACAGATCCAGCAGATGGCGGACAACATGGCGTTGGACATCGACAAACAGCTTGCAGCCAAGACCAAGGAGCTGCTAGGCTGACTGTGACGATTAAAAGGTCTTATTTTGGTTATAGCTGAACTTCAAATGGACTCATGTAAGAGGGGAAATATGCCATTCATATCTGGTTAATAATACACTCACTAGCATTGGGGAGATACATCACTGCTGGGGGATATCTGGGTTTAACCGTCAGTGCACAAACAGAAATTGGTACGGATACAACAACGACAGACTGCCGGTCACATCCCTCCTCCCTTGTTACTCTTCCTGTCTTCAAACAAACACAGACGAGGGACGAATGGACTTTTAATGGGATTTGCGGGCCTCCTCCTAATCAAACTCTTTGCCACAAGGGCTGTCTGTTTACATAAAACAAGCGCACCCGTCTGAATGTAAACTGGTTGCGGCTTTGTCTTGGTGGCAAGAGCGAGAGAAAAGGGGAGAGACGGTTTGTTCCAGAGACGCAGGATATGATTAGCATGTTGCCAAACATTTGTTTCACATTGATTCAAAGTCGGTTCAAAAATAAACTTGAGAGAAACAACAACTTTAATTTCTGCCATCGTCTAGGATTGATAATACGGCTACTCAACCGACAATAACGTCAGAAAAGTAACATTATTGATGGGCTCCATTAAATAAAATCTACTTTGTACCATGTGCGTCATGTTTCTCTCTTTTGTTTTCTTTTCTTTTTCTCCACTTTTGGTTTGAAGTCGCCCCCTCCTCCATTAGTCAGAGTGATAATGGACTTTTCCTGTGTACAGACCTCCAGACCCTGGCTGCTGGCACCACAATTGTCCATTAGGAAAACAAACTTTAATGTTGTCCACTTGGACCTCTTTGTCCTTTAAAAAGCTGCACTTTTAAAGCCACTTTCAGGAATTGCCGTTGTTCAAAGTGCATGGATAACAAGAAATGTATGAATGAGAAGCCTTCAGCAACACACACGGCTCTGCTTTCATCCCTCCGCTGTTTACACCAGCTAGAAGCTTTTCCGCACTATTATGTGGTCCGTGTCTTCGTCTTTATCATGGTTTGTTTTGCTTCCTCTGCTACTGGTCGCAGGCAGCCCACATGGCAGACAGGTTTAATTTGAAGAGTTTCCTCACACACTTGCTCTTACAACCACTCGGTGGTTTGTTGATTACAGTGGGGCTACATTGCACGCTACTAATTAAATCTGAATCAGAATGCTGTTTGGTGTCTTTTTAATGGATGAAATAAATGGATAAAATATGACTATGCCGATTTCATGGTGTTTTTTGTAATATTTGGTGTTAGCTACAGATTGTAGTTTTATTAGATTTGTCTTCTTTATTTGTCTCCCTGAATGGCCTTGCTGTAATGGCCTAAATGGGCCGGAGTCGTTGGATAAACAAGAGTTTAGCAGAGGAGAGGCTGTGTTGGGACAGAGGAGGGGTGGGGTGGAAATGGCAGGTTTTTCTGGAGATTCTGGGTCCATATGTCAGCAATTTGAGGGCATTGTGTACCTTGGCCTAAAACAGAGCTTCATGATCGATGGAGGGGTGAAAATCTCCCAAGTCCCTGGCGCAGAACACAGGCAAGCACGAGGAAATTGCTTTCAGCTGATAGCTTCATTTTGGTTGACATTTATCAAGTGAATTACCCCCCGTTTTTTCTTTTTAAATGTTTACTACTACTAGCACTGCCTTTTGGTGTGTGTGTGTGTGTGTGTGTGTGTGTGTGTGTGTGTGTGTGTGTGTGTGTGTGTGTGTGTGTGTGTGTGTGTGTGTGTGTGTGTGTGTGTGTGTGTGTGTGTGTGTGTGTGTGTGTGTGTGTGTGTGTGTGTGTGTGTGTGTGTGTGTGTGTGTGTGTGCGCACGCGCATTCGTCTGTGAGAGAGCAATAGAGCTTTGTCTTTGTACTCGTGGTGTGTCTTTTGGAAATTCCTCACCAAAATATACAAGTCTGAATTGGTTCAGTACACGTTGGATTTGATAGTGTTCTGTTCATTGCCGCTGCATTTAAGCAAAGATAACCACTAACACATTTTAAATCTATAGCTTTTACTCCCAAGATGCTCTTTATAAAGCTCTATTTCTTCAAAAAGTATCATTAATTTTTGCGTTACATAAATTGTAATAGAACAAAACCAAGCCATGAAGAAATAACCACAAATTTCAATTGTTTTATTAAAAAAAAACAAGCAAGACTATTTAAACTTTTGCCAAAAGGTGATTTTAACAGGATAATGGTGACGGGTACATTGTAATGTAACAGTAGGACAAGTAGAGAAGGTTCAGTGAACTCAGTAATGTCAGTTTTATTCAGGTTTGCTAACATTAGCCTCGGTAAGCTAATAGTCATCACACCAAACATGGCTCAAGCAGCAAAACCCCCGGGGTGTACTCAATTGGGCAGGGGTCCGTTTCAGTTCTTATGAATTCCAGTTTTTATTTGTAAGAGGAAGAATTTGTTATTTATTTTTACAATAGTCTTGTTTTAAATCCCCAATGGGAATATTAGTATGTGCTTTGCAGAGCACTTACTGAATCCAATTTCTTCCCCTTATTTTTTTTAGAACACACAGATACAGATACGGAAGAGCACAATTTCAACTCATTGGAAAAAAGAATCAAAATGCCTCAAGTGTCTATTTCAGTCCTCTCTAACTTCATTCTTCCTCTCTTAGCATTGTTCTACCTCTCAATATCTCCACTTTTCATGCAGATTTCTGTACTGCATTATTCATATATTTTGAGAGGAGCTCGATACAATGGTGTAGTTTCTCAAAAAGACCTACATTATATCGTATAGCCGCCGTGTGCATAATAGACCAAAAATAATGAATGTATATGATTCCTCTTCTTCTCTCTGTGACTCTGTGAATACACATCGAGCTGCGGCGCTCCTGCAGCAGCTGAACCGCTGAGGAGCCCCCGGAGCCGGGCGGAGACAGAGCCCACCACTCAAGAGTAGACAGAATAGGACAGATCGCACACACACACACGTACACACACACACACACACACCTCTTATTCTGTCTTTTTCTCCCTCTCTTCCTCTTCTCATCACCTAAAGAGCGTCAGAGTGTGTGAAGCCACCCTGAAGATCTCATCAAGGATCCAATCAGAGCGTGAATACAGAATGCACTCTCCTCTTGTGATGTGATGATTGGGGGACGGGGGGGACGTTGACATTGAGAGAGCCTGTCTTGAGCGAAAAAATCTCTGCATATGCAAATTGAAGAAAAAAGTAATGGATTTGATGTTCGTAATAGTATCTGTGACCCTTTCAGGGATGTAGCAACAGGCTCACAGGAAAAGAATATGTGCAGATTAGCCTATTAATATTTATAGATGTAATTGGTTGAGCTGTGTGGCATGCAGCCTTGTTGCGCCTGGTGTAATGCCAACCACGTTTAGGGGCTAATCCAGGTGGGTGCTCTTACTGCCTCTAACAGGGAAATGGCCGGCCATTTTAGGAGGAAGTTGGATATCCTAATAATCAGGTAAACTAATACCGGGCGGTGAGAGTGTTTCCTTCCGGAGCTCTTGGCATGTCAGTCATTGGCAGAATTGCTCCTGTCTAGTCTGCGAGCCATTTTAACTCAGAGGAACATGCACTCTTTCTCCCCTGATTTAGGAAGGACCACACGGGCCCCTTTTGATAGCCTCTGTACTCACGAGGAGGCTCCCCAAACGTCGTAGGGACCAACCAGACGCTCCTACACACACCTCCTGCTTCTCCAATCTGAACAAAGCGTTCCTCAGTCTAAAGTGGTTAAACTGTCATTTCGAATCGTCTGGACATCGTGATTACCGGCATGGGAGGAATTATATATTTAGCTTTATGTCCGTCGCCATTTCCTCCCCCCGCCCTGATCTGAAGTGACTAGCCAGTAGTGCCCTCGATATTACTATCTCTGAGGAGTTTAAACCTTCCCCCAGGAGACAAGTGTAATCAAGGGCTGCCAGCGGGAGAGAGGGAGAAAGAGAGAGAAGGAGGGAGGAGGGTGAGAGGTGTGGGGATCCCTGTAGTGATGAGATAGTGGAGGGAATGATAATGGACCCAATTAAAATATATATATTTCTTCTTCAAAACCTTTAAAAAAGACGGAAGGGTATCTTCTATGACCTACTTTTCTTTTTATATTGATAAAAATGATTTAATATATTATCAGTACATGGGCAATATTTCCCCCAAAAATACTTTCCTTTTGCTGTCAATTTTGCACGTTGCAATAGTTAGTAGAAAATGTCTAGTATCTTTGCTTCAAGAAGTGAAATTAGAGCTGGGTTGATTAGGATACAACAACGAGGAATAAATCATTCTGTCCCTGCAAAAGTATATATTTTTTTATTCAGGCCATATGTCATGTTTTCAGACAGTTTAACTTATTTAAAAATATGTTATTGTATAGGCATTATGTCGATTAAGGCAGAATAAGGCACTAGAATCAAGAACAATTATTCTACTTCGTGCATCTGTACTCAAATATATACACATGCCACCTGTTTTTTTATTTTTTTTTAAAGGAAATGGAGGATTTACTTCAGCTAATCCTACAGCTAATAACCAAGTTTAAGACAATCCAGCTGTGATGTGCTGTAGTCCAGAAAGAACTTCACATACGGATGAAAGCTGTTGAATGAAAGGAGAAGCATGCATGCACAAGACACACCTCTCCTTTGCTATTTTTACATTGAGTCATTATTTGGAAAAACATTTAAATATTCTTCCCCAAATTGTTTCTACAATACACTTCTTAAAAAACATTGTTTCTCAGTAAATCCACAACGCCCCCCCAGGATCTCATTAATCTTGAAGAGACTCATTCATCCTCAATAACGTCACCGCTTGCTCATAAATAAAAGTGACCGTTTGGAAAGCAGATGAACGCAGCCAACGGATTGGACAGGAAGTCAGTTAATCTGCAATCCAATCCGGCTCGAGTCTAGTGAAACGCGGCTCAGTTTGGCCGACCGAGGCCTGGGAGGAAGGAAGTGAAGGACTCAGGAAACAGTGTTCAGAGCTTTCACCAGTCATATCCATCACGGTGCACGGTGATGGAAGCATGTGTGTTCATGTGTGTGTGTGTGCCCCCGTTTCACCAGTCGTATCCATCACAGGGCTCTGTCTCCAGGCCCGGGCAAGAGAGCTGGAGAGTCATTAGAGGGGCTGGGCTACAGCTCTGCACTTTAACTAAACATCTTTTCCATAAAATAAATGCTTCCAGGTTAGTGTGGGTCCCGGAAAACCCAGGTCGCCTCGCTTTTGCTGCCACTCATCTGATCCCAATTACCAGACAGACTATAGGTCAGAGCCAGCGGAGACTATATGGATTCAGACTTTACTCGTGTGTAAGACTTCAGTGATAACCCAACTGTGGCATCCTTTGGCTTGAATCCACACACCACCATGCACATATGCCCCGCCACTTTACAGTACTCTATCTGTGGTAAAGAAAGAAAAATCATTTTTTTGTCTATGTCTTTAACTGGCATTATTTTTGACACCTATATTATTAGTGAGATCTAGTGGTGATTAAAGCTGTGAATAATCTTCCAAATCTAACCACAAAGCCACTTTGACATCTACAGTGCAGTGGTCCGGATTTAGCATGGAATGACATTGATTTCCATTTCACTCCTTATGCACATCTATCTGTATACACTTTTTAATTTCTCTATCACAAAAATATTCATATAATTTAGGGAGCACAATGTTGCGTATAACAAGAAGATGTTTTGAAGTGTTTTCCATATATAATATAGTATACCATATATCATATCAACAGGAGTCTCATGTATAATCATCTCATGTCATATCTGCATTTTAACAGTTACAGCAATTAAGATGGAAAAGTTGTTAAAGGATGTCTAGTGCTCTTTTATCTCATGGTGTATTATTTCATATTTAAGAATTTGTCCTCTCATATCTTGCCCTTTGTCTATAATCTCAACAATATTTTTGCTGTTTTAATTTACAATCCCTATATTGCGTGTCCTTACCGTTTTATACAATTTTAGCTAGTCTTATACCCACCCTGGTGACATATCATGGTTATTTACTTAGTTTGATAAAGGCATTGAAGGACTGAATGCACAACTATCACCTGTTGCATCAGCTTAACAAACTCTAAAACGTCTTTTATGGCTGTGTAAAAGCTGACATTAGAAGATCTCACCCTCCACCCAGCACATCCATAACATTTACTCCAGTTGTGTTTCATGTATGAGAGAAACTTGATCTTTGGAAGAGTCGATCATAGTGATG